AGCATTGTTTTGTGTGTGCATTTTATTACTGTAAATATTACTGTAAATATTACTGTAAATATAGTTGACAATACTAAGTACTTTTTTTGAAATATCTAGTCTTTCCAGATGTTCTGAAGTGTCTGATACATGTTAAAAGTGAAAGTAGTAACACCCTTTGTAAATACATTTTTGTTAAAGTTCATATGAAATCTTGGGGGAGGATGGCTAAACCTCCTCTTGAGCAGCACCCATTGTGTTTGTGCAGCGTGGGTTCAGGGTAGGGGGAGGAGAAGGAAGAGCTCTATGCCAGTGTACTTATAGCGAGGCAAGATTAACTGTTGTTCCTATGTCTGTGTATTTGGTCTTACTTACCTGTGTATATAGTGTGTGTAACGGACAAACAGGTCCTAATTTGCATTTAGTCTTTCTAGATGTTAAAGAGGTTGCCAGTGAATGACAAAGTACTTAGTAAAATTAGCACATTTTGTACACTTTGTGTTGAAATTCATAGGAAAGCTTGTCCTCTGTAAATGACTTTTGAATATGAATTTGTTCAACCATTGCTAAGTATTACACTTGCCTGTACTTGTCCACTGGATATAGATTACCCACAAAGCTGGCGAGGTGTGGAGAGACGGCACACTCTTACACTGCTTGCGGACTGCAAAAAAATTAGTGCAACTTTGTGGAAAAAGAATTGGAGAATACCCTAAAAGAGCTAAAATAGAAATACACATTTGGACAGCAAATTAGCATTCATTCAACATTCCTATCCAAAAGAGCTCTCTCCCGCTCTCCACGAGATGTATGGCAGCACAATTCAACTGATTGCAAGGATGTGGAAACAACCCAAGTGTCCATCATTCATGAGTGGATTATTACAATTGGTATATGTTTACAACTGGAATATTACCAATTCCTAGAACACGACAGCCCAGCTACCACGCTTATACGTCTCCCCGTCCCCAATCTTTCCACAAGTTGTGGTGACACCAAGACCAGAATATGGGCTTCCGACAAATACTAACTCCTCCATCCAAATTGGGTACCACTGATTAAACCACTACTCGTGCTCCAAGGGTGGGGGTGTCCACCAGCCAGACTTCGGGGGCTGCGGGAGACCGCACATACTGAAGGGAGTGGCTGACATCTGTGGAGGGAAGGTGCGTCCTGGTAACCCTTGCTAGGGAGCAGCCAAGATACCTAAATGTAACCACCACAAGTTCCACAAGCAGAACCAACCCCCCACCCAAAAAACCGAAATGTTTACGGGTGTCACGGCACGGTGCGCAGGGGGGAGGATGGATGGGTATTTAACATCAGATACCCGTGAAGATTAAGGGATTGCCACGCAATCACTGGGGGATCCAGGTTTCGAAGCTGCTGACTCAGGGCGGGGGTCGGGGCACAGGGCCAATGTCAACTAACCTTAAGTTCTGGCTATCCCCATATTAGCCTGAATAAACAAAATAAAGAAAACTAAAGAAATTAATTAATGGCAGCAGAAGAGAAAATAAGTGTTGGCATGGCATTAGGGTGAGGTTACGGACTACAGAATCACAATGGTGCCACTGTTAGGGACAGGTGCTGGTGGGCACATTTCCACTTCCAAACACAAAATTTCCCATCAGTTTTAAAAAGCCATTACCACTGTTATTTTACTACTCTACTTAATACACAACACTCAAAATATCATAGAAAACTAGATATTTCATATAAGAAACTGTCACTATGTACCACAGCACTGTTAACCTGAAAATTGCCACAAATACAGCAATTGCTCCTAATCTGAAGAATCCATCTTAAATATCACCATTTGGCCTGACCATTCCCCCTCATTTCTCTTCTCTCTGCTTA